ATGAAAATTTGGCAAAAGAAAAAAAGAATTGGTCTGCTTCAATTGAAATCATTTAATTAGAGTAAGTTAAATATTACAAAAGGATTATCTTCTACAATTAAAAAAGTTGTTAATATAAGTTGAGAGATGTATGCATCATAACACGCTTGATTTTTATATGAAAATTTGCCCCAAACAAACTCTTAGTGCTTCTATTAGATAATTTCTAGTGTTTGAATATTCATAGCATTAGATAGAAAATTTATTTTGTTCGAGTTGTATATGAATGTTGTATATATAAGTTGAGAGATGTATGCATCATAATGCACTTGATTTTTATATGAAAAATTGGCAAAAGAAAAAAAAAAATTGGTCTGCTTCAATTGAAATCATTCAATTAGAGTGAGTTGAATATTAGAAAAGGATTATCTTCTACAATTAAAAAAAGCTGTTAATATAAGTTGAGAGATGTATGCATCATAATAAACTTGATTTTTATATGAAAAATTGCCCCAAACAAACCCTTAGTGCTTCTATTAGATAATTTCTAGTGTTTGAATATTCATAGCATTAGATAGAAAATTTATTTGTTCGAGTTGTATAAGAATGTTGTATATATAAGTTGAGAGATATATGCATCATAATGCACTTGATTTTTATATGAAAAATTGGCAAAAGAAAAAAAAAAATTGGTCTGCTTCAATTGAAATCATTCAATTAGAGTGAGTTGAATATTAGAAAAGGATTATCTTCTACAATTAAAAAAAGCTGTTAATATAAGTTGAGAGATGTATGCATCATAATAAACTTGATTTTTATATGAAAAATTGCCCCAAACAAACTCTTAGTGCTTCTATTAGATAATTTCTAGTGTTTGAATATTCATAGCATTAGATAGAAAATTTATTTTGTTCGAGTTGTATATGAATGTTGTATATATAAGTTGAGAGATGTATGCATCATAATGCACTTGATTTTTATATGAAAAATTGGCAAAAGAAAAAAAAATGGTCTGCTTCAATTGAAATCATTCAATTAGAGTGAGCTAAATATTACAAAATGATTATTTTCTACAATTAAAAAGGTTGGTAATATAATAATTTAGATGTATGAAAATTTGGCAAAAGAAAAAAAGAATTGGTCTACTTCAATTGAAATCATTCAATTAGAGTGAGTTAAATATTACAAAAGGATTATTTTCTACAATTAAAAAGGTTGTTAATATAATAATTTAGATATGAATCATATAAAAAATGAGTGGTAATAGCAATAGGAGTTTTATATTAGTTGCAATCATGTAATGGTGGGCGACCAACTTACATGTAGATTGGGCTATTAAGATGGGACTAACATATGATGGTTGTTAGTTAGCATCCCGCGACAAAGAACATTACATGAAGGGTCAAAATTCAATTTGATTGATCTCCTAAAAGAAGAAAAAACTAGATTGCCAAAAAGTGGACAGCAACCGTCAGATATATTGTTGGAAGGCGTTTAGCAACAATCAATGAGAATCTTTAAAAGTTAGGCAATGGTTAGCGGTCCATATGATCATCTTCGAATAAAAGAGAAGATCGGGCAACCAAAATATATGCATTGGACAATGGTGAATGATGCATTTCAAACTTTGATTTTTGATAGACTTTGAGCTACAATCAATGAGAAATGTGAAGGTCCAACAATGACCAAAATGAAGTTTATCATTTTTCTTATCAGGGGGATCGACTGGCCTAGAAGTCGAGAGTTAGATGACAAAGGTAATGCATATATCCTAAGAGATAGAAAACTAATCAACATTATTATTATTATTTTGCTCTAATTGAACTAGGATTGAAACTGATGATCAATATCTAGCTTGAATTGAGATCATATCAAACAAAAATAATAAAGAAACTACTACAAAAATTATTTAGGGAGATGTTTTTAATGTGATTGTTCTAATACTTGCGCCATGTGATGCTCTATATTTGTTTGTAGTGTAAACTACTACAAAAATTATTTAGGGAGATGTTTTTATTGTGATTGTTCTAATACTTCCATGTGATGTTCTATATTTGTTTGTAGTGCGTAGTGTAGGTAGCTACAGAACATTTAGCTATACTTACTATAATTACAATTTTTTTAAACTTTAATTAACAGAATAAGCAACTAATTAAGTCTCTCTAACTTGACGTTCTCTAAAGCTAACTTTTTGAAGCATTCAAATCCCTAACATAAGCTGTCTTGTTTTTATGATTCGTGCAGTGGATAAATATGGATTGACAATGGCCATTGTGTGGTGTTTGTTGCCACTGTTGGATGTTTGACTTATCATTTTAATGATAATTATCAACAGCTTATATGGATCTTCATTTCGTCCATCATTTCAGATACCCCACATCCGACTCTGTCATAGAGAGTAGACTTTCAGTCTAATTTAGGTCGTTTAAATTATAAAAACACCATCTAGTGCCGCTCTCCGTGACTCTTTGGTTGATATCTGTGAAGTCAGTTGTAAGTCCCCTGAGATCACGGGTTCGAGCCCACCTAAGTGCATCTGTCTTGCAGCACGAGATTGAATGGTTAGGTACATGAGGGAGTCTGGGGGCTCAAATCATAGTCTCCGACCATTCTTTGTTACAAAAAAAAATTATAAAAGTACCATCTTATTATAATACAAGAATTTATTGATGGAGATATTATTGCAACAATACCTAATGATTCTTCTCTCTACACGAGCTTTTTCATATAAAAATCAAATATTCCTTATCCGTTCTGCATTTTATTACAAAACAGACATCTCCCTCCCTCTCTCTCTTCCTACTTAATTCATGCGGAATGTAGCAAATGTTAAAACAAATGATCAGATTTAATCATTATATAGAAGCTATACCATTAAATTGTGTATGACCCATGAGAAATTTGTGAGATAACAGACATTTCTCCACTAACAGATTACATGCCAAAAACTCAGATGGAAAAGCAGCCACAAGCTGAAGTTGAAGAAAACAAGCAATAGGAAAATGTTTAATCTTTTTGGATCAATATTCTATCATGATTGCCTGACCAAATACTTGATAGCCAGGTCCAATTCAACATCCGCACAGAGTTGATTCATTTCTTAGATTCAGGTGAGGCCTATTCATATGCTAGTTCGGCCAATCGGTTGATCAATTGGTCAATTAGGTGACCTGCCTACGGTGACGGTCAAATCACAACTCAATAGTTTTAACTTGTCAATTTAGCGGCCCAAATTTGGTAATTCGTCGGTTACTCAACTCCGACATTACTACTTTTCAATTAGGCACTCATGCATTGTATCTTTTTCCATGTACACAATTGTCTAACTTAATGGTTATCGACCAAAACCTATAAATACGGAGTTAACATTGAGACTCATGTTATGCAATCCAGCACGCTAAAGGGGTGTTTAGTAGCAAAGCTTTAACAGAATTTAGCCATGCATTTGACTCAAATCCAGCCAAATGAACGAAATCCAACTATTTGAATTTATCCTTGTTCCGTCTTCTCTACGGCCATTCCGTCTACAAATTCAGATTCACCAAATCCCAAAGAGAGGTGGATTTGCCGGATTTACGTTACGGTTGCTTGCAAAATTCACTCCTATTAAGAGCTCACCGTAAATCCGAATTTGATGAATCCTACTTAATGTAAATCCGATCGTACAACCAAACACCCCTAAATACGCTTACATAATCCTTTTTCGGGCTTTACGGGCACTCAAACACATAACACATGTATAATCCTTTTTCGGGCTTTACGGGCACTCAAACACATGATAGTGAGATTCATCAACTTATTTCCAATCAATATGCTGCATTTGAGCACGCCCCAAATTTCTCTCTCTCTCTCTCTCTCATCTAAGTGATGTGACTTCACTGACAATATAGGATCCAACACTGATGAACCCCATATTTTTCTAATCCAAGAAAGCACAGCTCAATCAGCTGCAAAAGGCCTTCAAATCTTCAATGAAAATTAAAAAAAAAATCAAAACAGATCCCTTATATCCTTATCCATGGCATATAATAAAGCATTGATCTTAATTTATACACATAATTAATGATTGCCAAAACAAATTAAAACTGCTTATCGATTGTAGAAATCCAGGCACAGTAAGCGCAAACTATCCTCTGAGAGATGTAGATATAGACTGCAAAGGAGAAGCTCATAAGAGCAACATCCTTCCAGTCTCCCTTCTGCTTAGGGCTCAAAGCCTCCTTCAACTCCCTGCCAAGCTTCTCCACCTTGCTGTAGATCATGGATGCAGTCCGGCGGAGGTGAATCTCCTTTCCTTTGCTTTCTTTGTTCTCCGGCGGCGGAGAGAGGTGGCTCCGGCAAGGTAGGACGGCGGCGAGTTTGGTTTGTTGGGCTGGCTTGCGGGGGTGGATCGGATTGATGCGGTGGAGGGAGGGGGAAAGAGAGAAGGAGGCCATTGGGATAGCTGGGATGGTGAGATCGGAGAATAACAGGGGATTAATTCATGATGCGGATTAGGAGCAGGGGGGGAGGTTTGGTGGGGATGGGAGAGGTGAGAGCAATAATTGCCGTGGAAGGAAACGCGATATGAAACAAAAAATGATTTTGCCAATTTGCTAAAGCTGGCGTGCAAAAATATCTTGGTGGGCGTTTTGAAATTAAGTATTTTACATGCTCGTCACACAATTGTTGTATATATCGTTGTGTGTTTCAAGAATGTGCCGGCAGTAATTTGAGAACAAAAGATCTAAAATGAAGAAAACATAATAAAGGAGAGTGAATTTACAGGAGTCCAAGGGCTCACTTATTCAATTAGATGCACTCATTAGAGTAAAAAAATGAAGAACAAATGAGCTTGGAAAAGGATTAAGAGAATGATCGGAGTCTGAACTGATTGGACTAAAGCAAGACAGGCAAACACTCGAGTTAACTGCCTCAGAAAGTCGAGAAAAGTTATCAATCTACGTCTCTGTCGATAAGACATGAGAAAATAATCCATTTCCTCGGCATCACCAATGTAATAGAGTCTCGCAATCATTCCAAAAGAATGAACTATCTATTGGGTTACAGCTGCTCGATAGCTTAGTCTCGTTCTGCTGGTTGTAGCTCCTCATCTAGGGATCAAGTGTCGGTTGACAAACTAGATCAACCGATCATGAAAGCCTATATCATCAAGCTAATACTGTGAACCCAAATCTAATCAAGTTCAATCGACCGGCTACATCGAGTCAGCCGAGCCGACCAAACTGACCTTGCCAAGTCGAAGCTATGCTAATCCAACGAACTGAGTCATGGCAGCAGAGCAATTGTCTCATACATGTAAAATAGCTAAAATACCCTATAATGCCTTAATTAAAGCAAAATAATAACTGCAATATTACTTATTTTGTATTCTCTCCCCTATTATTAGTAAAATTATTAATAAGATTATTTTATGAGAAATGACTAATAGACAAAATATTTTACTATTTATTATGATCCCTCCCTCCCTCTTCTTATAATTTAGCCCGCTTGGAGTGTGATTCAGAGACAACTTAACATTTATAACACTTTGGTGTTATAAACTTTTGTATGAAAAATGTATTTCACTATTAAAAAAAAGTTAATAATAGTGATATTTTTAATGTGATCTTAAAGATTTAGTAGTTAAATGTTAATTTGAATGTTTAGGTATTAGTTATATAAATATAAAATAATTTTATGGTGTGCATGCAAGATCTCCTTCGACATTTAGCTCCAAGTAACACAAAATGTTATATTTGTATATTTAAAATTTCATTTTAAATATATTTAAATTTAAATTTTAAAATTTAAATATAAATTATTTAAATTTAAATTTTACATTTTTTGTGTTAGATGATATTTTATTTTTTATTATTTTATCACAATGATTATTTTCTTACAATGATTGTTTGAATTAGAGCTTAATTGAATCAAAATAAATAATTATATATTTTAAGATAAAGATTTTTATAATTGTTTCTTAACAAAATTACAAAATAATGTAATATACTTTGCATTGTAATCATAAGTAAACTACAATAATCGTTAACTGTTGTTGATGATGATCTCTAAAATCGTCGATTCATTATAACTTTTAAAATTGTGAATTTTAGTATATCATTGAATTCGTATTTTCAAGATCTTAAATTTCATTATAAAGTTGCTTAAATAAAAAAGGTCAAGATGAGCTTAAATTGAACTAAAAATATACTTATCCAACCTATATTAAATTTGGTGGCTTATAATGTGAATTTTTTGGTGACATCAAGTATAAGCTACAAAGCAGAAGTAATGATATATTACAATACTTACAAGTCATCCCTTCAGCCAATTTTAATACCAGAATAACAAGCATTTTGCATCTGTTAAAATATATCATTCTCCATCGTTTCCAACATTTATCCGAACTGTTAAATGTAGTATTAAATGGTCACACTGGTATTAGAGGGGTCAGCAACCTCCATTGATCACTGCAAGATCAGAATATATTCGATTTAGAACAATAATTCAAAAAAAAAAAAAAATGCAATCTGAAATTAGCATATGCACCCACCCTATAATTGTATTTTCAACATCATTATTAGATTATCTAAACTTAAATAATATGATATTAGCTCAACTAAATGAATAATGAATCTTTCTAATAGATGATATATCAAATAATGAGTAAAGTGCCAAAATAGTCGTATCGACTATTTAAATGGGGTGGTCATTTTAGTCCTAGAGTTCATAATAGTATTAAAATAGTC